TTTTCTCAATTTCAATAAATTCATGTGTAGAAATATTTAAGTATTCAGGGTTTTCAGGATTTTTTGAATTTTGAAATTGTGTAATGAGATTTTCTAACTCCATTTCTTCTTCATTAGTTAAATCAACAAGAGATTCTGAATCTATAAATTCATCAATTTCTGTAGAAGGAAGAATACCTGTTTTTGCCAAGAATGAATAATTACATCTTCAGAAACTTTATTCTACGCTTGTAAAACAAATTGAATTGCATCATAAATCGTAACAGGATCTGGAGGTTGATTAGTAAGGTTAGATTCATCAAATGTGGCAATTCGGTTTTGTAGTAATAACTTACGATATTGATACTATAAGTGCCTCATTTACAGATTTGTATAGTATTACTGTAATTATATGAGAATATTAATAACATAAGGAATATGTACTAACCTTAAATAAATAGATTACGCTTGAATCACATGGTTGTAACCATGCAGTAGTAAGTTTTGAAAAAAAAACAACTTTAATATTACTCAGGTTTAAACCTGTAATAGAGTGTGCAGAACAATTATCTAAAAGTAGAATAATTTTTTGATGGGCACAATGCATATGACGATCCAGATTAGATATCCAGTTTTGAAAAATTAAAATTTGCATCTATGCTTTTTTGTTCTAATAGTATTGAACAGATAAAGATGATTTTTTATTTCTCTTATTGAGTGTAGATTTTCAAATTTATGAATAAAAAGTGGTGGTAATTTATCACCAACTGCATTAAATATTAACATTATAGTAACATGATTCTTTGGCTTTTTAACTCCTGAAATACGACCATGTATAAGTGATTTTGAAGGTTCTAAAAGCCAATAAAGTGCCATTTCATCGCAATTATAAATATCTACTAAATCATAATTTGATGTTTCATTTTGTAAAGATAGACGAAATTCAGGTAATTTTTTAATAGGGGCACTAGCAGCTTCTCTACAATATGTAGTACAAACAATATGATATCATTTTTTGAAACCTTGCAACCAACCATCCGACGTAGCAAAATTTTGAATTTTTAAGGTCACTGTAACCTGTTTGGCCTTTTCTTGTAAAATTAACCCTGTAATTGTTAAATGGTTTTCTAGTACAAGGTCAAACCATCGTGCAAGAATTTCTTCTAATTGTGAATGGTCTGGTGGTCGATTTCGCTTTTGTTGTGCTATGGTACTTTCTTTATCTAGACCAAGCCAATATAATGATTGTGCAAGAATATCAGCTACGGTTGTTCGACCGATTTCAAATTTATCTGCCAATTCTTGTTGAGTAAAGTTTGGATTATCTCATGCAAATTGACATAATATTTTTTTTTGCTTGCCAGTTAATATTTTTCTAGGTTTTTTAGATATTACATTATTTTTTTCTTTGGTTTTGCTTTTATGCTTAGTGGAAATAATTTCACTATCATTATCAGACATATTTCGTAAATTTTTGTGATGTATTAAAAAAATTTAAACTTTTATTTATAACATCGATTATTTACTTTTAAAAACTATTTTACTTTTTAAACTACCGCTATGAATATTATCTCTTTACACTTCAAGTTTCACATGCAACCACATTTTTACAGGTAAATTTTTTGCATAATGTATTAAAAAATATTTCCCACTAACCTTTATTTTCTAATGCGTACATCTTTAAATGATTATCTAATTGAGAATCTATTTAATTATTCCTGGATCAATACATATAATAGCTGGTTTAAAACTAAACTACGCATGTATGTACACGTAGATTCTTTAATAATTATTCTAAAAAAGAATCATAATTTATTACAACCAATGGCTATACATAGTATAGCATTATACCAAAATTAACTCATTGAAATTAGATTTCTTGTTAATGAAATAACTTTATAGATATTTAAGTATGCAGATTGCTAGTTAATAGTCTTGATATATCTTGTTAGCTCAGTTTTTTCTAATTATATTTGCATATTATTGTTGGATAAGATAAGTCAGGAGTAGCTTTCATATGTTTCTTGAAATGATGTAAAAAAAAAAGTCGTGGCTACAGTATCTTTTTTTGATACAGTAGTTTTTCTTTTACATGAGATATTGTATTGGCTTGGTTAGTATTATGATTTACAGTTTTCAATAATTAATAAAGCTAATCTAATTTAATTGGTCTATCTATAACAACAGTCGGTTTATAAAATTTTGTCACTATAAACAGCAACAAAAAATTAATATAAATAATTTTTAATACTAAAATTGTCAGTATGCCAGTATAGTTAATGTTTCTTATGATTGTTGATATAACCAACAAAATTTTAAGATAATGGATTTTTTTTTAAAAAAAATGTCGATATAACCAAATGTCGGTTAAACCAGCTGTCAGTATAACCAGAGTGATGTGTATTAATATTTTTTATTTTTTTAAAAAAATAAAAATTAAAAAATAGCTTTATTTTAATATAAAGCTAGATTTGAGCTTTAATTTTTAAAAAAATAGTATACTATTTAATTAATTATTTATTTCAATAAATATAATTTTATTTTGGTAAAATTTATAGCAATAATTATATTAATATTTTTTTATTTTTTTAAAAATAAAAATTAAAAATAGCTCTATTTTAGTGTAAAGCTAATTTAGAGCTTCAGTTTTTAAAAAAATAATATACTAATTAATTAATTATTTATTTCAATAAATATAATTTTATTTTAGTAAAATTTATAGTAATAATTATATTAATATTGTTTTATTTTTTAAAAATAAAAATTAAAAAATAGCTCTATTTTAGTATAAAGCTAGTTTAGAGCTTTAATTTAAAAACAATAGTATGCTATTTTATTTTAGTAAAATTTATAGCAATAATTATATTAATATTTTTTTATTTTTTTAAAAATAAAAATTAAACAATAGCTTTATTTTAATATAAAGCTAGTTAAGAGCTTCAATTTTAAAAAAAATAATATGCTATTTAATTATTTATTTCAATAAATATAATTTTATTTTGGTAAAATTTATAGCAATAACTATATTAATATTTTTTTATTTTTTAAAAATAAAAATAGTTCTATTTTAGTATAAAGCTAGTTTAGAGCTTCAATTTTTAAAAAAAATAATATGCTACATATTTAATTAATTTTTTATTTTAATAAATATAATTTTATTTTAGTAAAATTTATAGCAATAATTATATTAATAATTTTTTATTTTTTTAAAAATAAAAATTAAAAATAGCTTTATTTCAATATAAAGCTAGTTTAGAGCCTTAATTTAAAAAAAAATAGCATATTATTTAATTAATTATTTATTTTAATAAATATAATTTTATTTTAATAAAATTTATTTTATTTTATTTTTTTTTTTTGGTGTTAAGGTGGCCTCTTGGCCGGCTCCTTTTATTCGGTTATAGTTAACTTTACAATATGC